ATATGGGTGACGTTCTTCTTCGTCAAGTTAAATAGGATTTCACAAGTAATTTATAAAAATCCATATAACACAAGAATTTCATGGAATATCACACTGTATTATACTATACATTAATTTATATTTAAAATAAAATACAACATTATACTACGTAGCATGGTATTCGTTAAAACAGTTCCAACACATTTCTGGTGATTTTGGACTATTGGGACAATATGTTGTCCTCTGTTTTACATTTTTTCTCGCTTCCTGGCGTTCGAGAATTTGTCTCCTCTTCTGGTATCATAGAACGCAAATTCCAGCTAATCGCTCTGTTTACGTTGTTGCGCTCCGACTATCGGATTTGGGCCCCGCGAGAAACTCGACCGATTCACGCTGGGCGACGAACGTGTTAAAGATTCAAAGGGTCAAAAATTGAAAGATTGAAAGATTCAAAGGGTCAAAAATTGAAAGATTCCAAAATTGAAAGATTTAAAGATTCAAAGGTTCAAAAATCCAAAGATTCAAATGTTCCAAGATTTGGAAATTGAAAAATTGAAAAATCCAAGGTTCAAAGTTTCAAATATTGGAAAACTCAGATGCACGAAAATTTCGGGATTGAAAATTGAAAAAAGTCTCGAAATTAAAGAATCCCCAAGTGTCGACGTCAAAACGCCCAAAGATTCAGAAATGAAAAGATCACCCGTTAATCCCACAAACACTATCCACAAGGAAACCAATGCCCTATCTCATAAACCATCGAACAATGAACCTCTTCTCCTCTTCTCCATTACCCCGCCATTACCTCTTCAACGCCGTCGACCGAAACCCGGTTCCGTAAGTCATATTTGATCCACGTTATAAGGAACGAGCAACCTAAACGCAAAAGAAAAAAGGGAAAAAGCAAACAGCTGGTCGATGGAAAAGAGGGACACAAAGGCTGGAATGCGGTCTAACGAGGTGAACGTAAGAAAACTCTCAACACTCAAGGGACGTCGAATGTCGTGGAATTTTGGCGAGAGTATACCTGGTGTCCTCGACACACACGTCTACCACCTGTGTAGTAACTACTGGAAAATCAACGAGTTTCCAATCTTCTACATATATATATATACGCACAATGAACCGAGGAAAGAAGAAGAGACAAAAGAAGAAAAATGATCCAACAGAGACTACGTAGAGAAGGAAGAAAGAGAACGAAGGGGAGTACTCGATAAAGAGAGGCTATCGTAAAAAGAGCAATAGATAAGGTAGGTGCGGCAGGCCGCCTTGATAGGTCAGCGACCAAATAATATCCGTGCTTTCTTTCCAGCCTGTTCGTTAGCCAGAGGAGGAGCGATGGACGCAACGCTTTGGCGCCACTTGATTTATGGCCGCATAAATGGCGCCCGTAAACGCGTTCTTACGCTTTCCACTATACAGGGTCAACAATTTGCCACGAGAGTTGATTTCCCTTCGTGATTAGATTTTCTTAGGACGAGATTTTCTCAAGCGAAATATCGTTCGATAAGCGGTCGTGGTTTCTTCGACACTTTTGTGGATTTTATGTTTCCGAGTGTACACTGGGCGTGTGATAAGGAAGGTTTGGGTTGCTTGGATAAACGATGATTAGGTCGACTTTGATTTTGACGGGATCGACTGGTTGTTGGAACAGGTGATGGAACGGTGGTGCAAGGTTCGAGAATGAATTGGTGCTTTATTTTGTGTGGATAAGGTGATTAGAAGGGGTTTGCAGTGTGGGTGGTGTTTAGGCAGTGATTGGATGTTTCGGGGACTGTTGGCGAGTATTTGGAATGTTTGACTGAAGCTAATGGAGAAGTTAGATTTGTATTGTGTTAATCGGTATTCGAAATTTATGAGACTGAAAATTGAAATTTTAATACTTTTCCAAATATTCAAATTTCCAAATATTGA